TTTGCAGCTTAGCTTTGTGGAAGTTTCTCAGACTCTTACTGACTAGACACTGCAGACTTTGCTACAGTGAAATCGCTGTTTGTTAAAAGAGTGAATTTTCTGCCTAGTTGGTAGTTGGCCATTGAAGAGGTAACAGGGCTAGAAGAGAGAGACAAGTAGGACAAACAACATGATCTTTAGCTTTCCAATTATTCTTTATTTCTGGTAATCACATTATTTCTGACCATGCACTCAAGTTGCATAAGCGCTGCTGTCATGCAGCAAATAATGCTGCATATGCTGCTCATCCATTACAGCAGCAGCATCAGCTGTCTTTCTGTTGCTCTGAATAAGTGAACTGACTTTTCTTTATGCTGTTCATTTTCATGATGACAGGGTCTTGCGTGTGTGCGGTCATAAATGTTATGCTTTCCGCAAATAGTCAGTTGAAAGTTAGGGCTAGTGTAGTCTGTCTTCCTTGTCCGTGCCGCGTAGCGATGCGACCCCTTGAAGTATTTTTTGCGACGAATGTGCACAACAACTTTTGTGGTTCGGCAATTTAGTGACGTAATGAATTCGTTCTAGCACGTAGCTTCAAGAAAATCACTCACCACTTTCACAAATACATTCGATCAACACATAGCACGTCTGCTTCCATCACGGCATAACACGTCTGCTTCCTTCAGAATACTAACCTCGTTTCATTTCTTAAATCTAACGCATTTTGCACTTCATTTCGAGCATGGGTTTTGCAAGAACTATTCCTGCGAAACACAACTTGTATCGTTTATGCATAACATTTCATCCTCCTTAGATTAAGGAGAGATATTCTTTTAGATTTTGCTAAGGCTTTTGACAACGTGTCTCACCGCTTACAACTTAAACTCAGTGCTCTTAATATTGACCCTAACATCTTGAAGTGGATAGAATGTTTTATAACTAACCGTACTCAATTTTTAACCGCTAATGATGCCGTATCCTCCCACTGTGACGTTAAGTCTGGCGTTCCTAAAGGCTCTGTTTTGGGTCCCTTGCTATTTATGATTTACAATAATGACTTACCTACCGTTATTATAGTTCCATTAAACTTTTCGCTGACGATTGTGTCGTATACTGTGAAATAACTAGTCTGCATGATAACCTCATTCTTCAGTATGATCTCAATAAAATATCAAAGTGGTGCTCACAATGGCTAATGTTATTAAACCACAGGAAATGCAAGATTATGACTGTTTCACTTCGATCTGAAGCATCCATTCCTCTCATCTATGCTATCAATAACATCAACCTTGAATACGCAACTTCGAATAAGTATCTCGGAATTCCCATAACGAATAACCTTTCTTGGCATACACACGTTCAATACATCACTAACAGTGCCAATAAATCACTCGGGTACACACACAGGAATTTTTCTAATGCCCTCATGTCACTTAAAATTGCTTCTTTACAAAACACTCATTAGACCAAAACTCGAGTATGCGTCTTCTGTTTGGGACACCGGTCTAAAAACATTAAAAAGCATTATTGAGTCCGTTCAAAATCGATTAGCACGTTTCATTATGTCAAACTATTCTCGCACAGCTAGCGTTTTATTAATAAAATCACTCTCGGACTACTTTATTCGCAGCTTAGAAGAAAAATTTCTCGTATATGTCTTTTCCAAAAAATTCTTCACTTGAACAATTCAAGTAAACAGGAGCTCATATCACAACCATCATACATATCGTCACGTCTTGATCATGAGCATAAAGCCTCCCTTCCTCTCTATCGCACTAATGTTTTTTCCGACTCTTTTCTGCCAAAAACCAGTGCCGAGTGGAACCACCTAGCCTCCTCCATATCTTGCATTGAAGACGCATCATCATTCAAAGCTGCACTGAGAGGTTATATTATGGGCGTTAAAGAACTTTTTGTTGTTAAAGCATGGATCCTCTCTGACTTTTATTTGTATGTTCTATTTTTACTGTATTTTTTGTTGGATTACCCACCCCCCTCTGCCCCTCTGTAACGCCTTTATTTTTCCTGAGGGTAGTAATATATATATATATATATATATATATATATATATATATATATATATATATATATATATATATATACATATATATATATATATATAAATATATATATAAATATATATATATATATATATATATATATATATATATATATAACATTACAGAGAGAAGAAAAAAACAGAAACATGTTAATCTGAGGACCAGCCTTTAGCATTAAGAGCTAAACATAGATAAAGGAGATTTCAACGTATTTATGCCATAAATAAGGTGTAGACGAGCTGCCTATGCATGAGGAGCTTTCGTAAAAGTCCAAGTTATTGCATTATTTTTGAAAGGAAACAGGGAATGATTGTCATTATTTATAATAGCTCAAACTTGGAGTGCAATTTTATAAACAAAAGATATTCAGTAAAGTAATTAGTTACTTATTCCTAATATATCTTATCACCTATTCTGCGAAAACTGACTAACTTTTCCCGACTACAGGGTAACGTAGACCTGTTTAATCAGGTGGCCTGTTATTCCTCCTTATTGCGCAAAAAGGTAGAAGCCAGTTATGCAAGCGGTTTCGATTGGCCCTCTCAGCCGCCAAGTTCTTTGAAAGAAAACACGTTTAAGGGTGCTGTATATCATCAACGGCCATCCTTCCTTAGCAGTCATGGATGACCTGTATGTTTGAATAATTGATTTATATGTGGGGTTTAACGTCCGAAAACCGCTACATGATTATGAGAGACGCCGTAGTGGAGGGCTGCGGAAATTTCAACCTTTTGGGGTTCCTTAACGTGCACCCAAATGTGAGCACATGGGCCTACACCACTTCCGCCTCCATCGGAAACACAGCCGCCGCAGCCGGGATTCGATCCCGCAACCTGCGGGTGGCATGTATATTTAGAAAGACTATAATAGCAATAGAGGAAGATTTCGAAAGTAACAAATATCAATGAAATATCTTCAGCACGCAATGACAACGAAAAGCGTACACTGTGCAAGCATCCCCCAGAAATACATTTGTTCTGATTCACAAGTCTTCTTCCAGGCATGTGTCCTAAACTTGACATTCAAAATTTTGTTAAACATGAGCTTCTTCCCTCGTGATCACCAGTACACATAGTGACGATATTGTACTGTCCACATTTGAAGCAATGTTTTTCTTAATCAAGAACATTCAAATTTGAACCATAAAGATCTTATCAGTTCCATAGAGAGGGCCCGCTACCCTTCCGTTACCTCCGCCTACTTTCGTTTTATGGTCCGCTGACGTTATTTGTCAGTAATAGCATCCATATTTGATCCATCGCACTTGATTCCTTTTTGTTAGAGATTCTACGAGTGGATGTCAGTACTAATTTGAGTCAGACTGGAGCGTTTGGCAGTAACCTTGGTTAACCTCCCTGCTTTCCTCTGTAGTTATCTCTCTCTCTCTTCTGGCGATCCTATAATCTTTGAATACAATAAGAATAAAGAAAATGAATGGAGTACACTCTCCAGCACCTGGTACTACGAATACTTCGGGCAGTGCGCTTACCACGATGGTTGAATTCTTATGAGGGCCTGCAACACGGCCCTATATATGGTCGCAACTCCCAAAGCTTTTCGTTCGTTAACTTTCCTTGTAATTAACAGCTCTCGTTCTCATACCCGCTACTCTCGTTCATTACAATATGTTCCCTGGTTTTTGTGAACGAGTTGAACTTGCTCGAACTAAGAAAAAAAAAACGAATGCAAGAGCTTTGTGTGAATACCATCTTTTTTGTTTATAAAAATAATTTCAGATGTAGTCTTGTAGAAACAATCAAACTTCTGAATAACCTTACAAAGCTCCATAACGACTGCTTTCGGGCGAATGTAAAACCTCGTTGGCTTCCTTATAAAGCTAATAAGGTCCAAAAAAAAAAGAATGAAATAAAAAGAAGTGGTCGCGTATCGTTGTCCTTCACTGCAAATGTCGTCCAAAGACTTTTCTACCAGCTGTCTCTTTCGTGCATAACATTGCATTTTTAGCGCATCGTGAGAAACACTAGGGTATGATTACGTATTTATGCAATTTCTAGTAAAGGAACACATCACCTAGAACTTACGTATTAATACCGCGGCTAAGACATGCGTAATATTTGTTTTCAATCAACAATGTTGACAAATATAAATGCAGCCACGAGATCATCAACATGGCTGGGCGTTGCGCAAGTGCTTAAGCTTGGGCTGGGTGGCTGAATCATATGGCAGACAGACAGGCAGAAAGACAGAGAGACCGAAACGTATCTGCGTTCAGGTATCCCCCCAAAAAACTAACGTCTTCAATAAACAACATATGAAAGGTGCTTGGCCACGTTCTGTTTTTCACGGCAGTTACGATGCACAACACCATTTGTTGAATCTCACGTATATTGAATACGTGTATGTTTATTCACTGAATAAAAAGCCAGCGTCGATGATCAGTGTTGAGCCTGCCCCCCTCCTCCAACACACGCACACTCTGTTACTGCGTTAAGGACCACTACCCCTACTACGGTACCCCTACCTCTGCTACCACTAAAACTGCTCCTGCTATTACCACACTACCCCTACGATTGGAACAATGTATGTACTATGCGCTGCTTTGGTTAACGAATGGTTTTACTGCCTAAAGTGGAAGATATGATGACGTAAACGTTGTGATGATCAATGTCAGAAATAAACAAACCAGTTTAGGAGAGTGCCTCAAGTTGACTCATATGTCGGTACGTTATTTTTTCATCACTAATCGCAAGTGGCTTGCACTTGTTTCTCCACGACTTTCCTTTACACTGCAATTCACATGCGTGTAATTTTACCTTTGCGCCCAGTGTTATTGTGCAAGTATAAAGGGGTGGTCTTGAGTGACTGGCACCGTAATCCCTAAGTCCGAAGGAGTCTGCGTGCAACGACTGTACCCAACGCAGAGACCAACTGCCAAGTAAAACACGAATCTGCACAAGTTCGGGCAGATATAACGTGGTAATCCTGTCGCCGTCAGCTCACCGTCCAAATAGACCGGTGGTGCGATGCGCGAGTGGCAGCTGAGGGCCTTGCCCCAGCTGGGGTGCTTGATGTTGTTGCAGGAGCCGTCCAGGGTGCGGTAAGGCGCCGATGCGTCGCACTTGGTCGGGTACAGCCGACCGCAGAGTTCCTTGCGCGTCAACACCGCCTCCAATTTGCTTAGGTCCATCTTGGACACGGCTCGTTGCACCTCCTTTGCGGATGCGTTGTTCCTGCAGGTTCGGAAAACGAAGGTCCAGAAGCTGGGATTTATGCCATATAGATCCACTAATTGAATTCGAAATTACGTTGTTTTGACAGAAATGTGGAAAGCCCTATTTACAGATTAGGATTAGTAACTGCCTACACGAAGCATTTTTTACACAAAATAGGGAGCACTGAAACTACTGAATGTGCTTGCGGTTTTGTAGATGAAGACATATGTCGCCTCCTTCTGAATGCCTACAACACGAAACACCAAGACGCGGACATAGATAACGTTTAACGACTTTAGATCGAAGACCATTCAGTTTAAGGAAACTTTGAGGTGCGTGGCGAACAAGAACTATACAAAAGAAACAGAAAAAGCATTGAAAGCTTTTCTTAAAGACAGTGGCGTTCTTAGCAGACATTAGCGCATTCTTTCTCTTTTCTTAACGCGAAAATAATATTTATGAGATGGTAGACTACTATGTTGACAATTATATGACCGTTGACTTACATGCATTAGTTACGCTCCATTTGTTCACATCAACGCACATGCACATATATGATATTTTTGAATACGTTCTTTTCAAATCTCATGTCCTCTTATATATTCTATATCGTGTTGTTATAATTTGTCACAAACACTGCAATTTTCAGCTCGCCCGCACACGCCATTGTCTAAGGAAGGGTGCTTTTGTGTTGGGAAGACGACATCCTGCGACTAACGACCCACCACGGCGCCGCCTCGTCTGCCCTACACCTGTACCGAAAAGGGCACGCATGTGTTCGAGGAATGGAAAATGACCTCGAGAGGGGATGGGAGCGTGCGTATGCCACAAAAAAAAGTTTGGACCGCTTCGAAATCGGCAGTTGGTGTGCAACAAGCAAGAAGCGTGGTCATCGGTGTCGCGAGGCTCGCGTATAGGCAGCGAGCATGGAGGGACCCGCGCAACGTTTCGAGACGGCTGCAATTCCGGGCACTCTCGTCGTCTACCAAGCCGGCGAGATCTTCAACTCCTTTACGTGTACCAGGAGCTGGCCTGGTCCATATGGAACTTTTTATTTTGACTTTTAACTGTTATTTTTAATAATTGTAGTTGTGTGCGCTGTGTCGCACGTAGCAATTCAGATGTGTGAATATGATCTTTTGTTCTGTAATTATGTCCTTACATCTCTTTTTGATTTCCATGATGTCATTATTTTATTAACATTCTACGATGTGGTTACTTGTACATTCTCTAGCGTTCTTTTAGAAAATTGTTTGTAACTATTTCTTTTCCTTCGCGTATTAGTGTTTTTCCTCTGTTATTTTCGCAATCTCCTTGTCTTTGCCCTTGTTTTACTTAAATGCTTGTTTGTGCGTAATGAAATGTCCGTGTCTGCTCCATGAGTACGTTGGTCAGGCCTACACATCACCACACGTGCAAAAGCGCACGGCTCGACCAACCTGCAAATAAATTTGAGATGTGCCTATTCGAGGCCTTCCAGTCGTCGTAGGCCGAAGCGTAAATTGGAAGTCTGCGAGTCTGCCGCACGTCGATGTTGGATCCGTGGGGCCTCATGAGGCACCCGAGGTGTGTGACATAATTGTACATTGTACGTACAGTGGACTTCTTACGCTTAGGGAGTTTAACCCTACCTGCTGTGTGCAACATACCACTAAAGGATAAGGAGTAGCTGCTGCCTACTTTGTGCCCCAACATCTTGTCACATCACATCAATAAAAAAAAGACGTTAGGCGTATTTCAATTTCAGTTATATCAGCATTTGTCTGTCATTGGTTATCATCGATTGCCGAAAATTTAAATACAGTTGCATCCTGTCCTTCAAGCAGCCATTCTATGTGGGATGGCCCACTTTTCACTCAACGTCGCCCCCACACAACAATAAAATTAGTGAATAAAAGTCAGTGCTTCGGAACATCATGAACTGCCATATGCAAATCACTCTGCACGATACCTCCCGACGTGAGCACTTAAAAGGCGGAAAAACAGAACAGTAGATCGGCACTGGAGCAGCAAAGTGACACCAACCAGAAATATGATTTGAAAAAAAAAAACCTGCGTAAGCAATAAAAAAGAGATAAAGGCCACTGCCATGTCACCGGTCCCACACCTTGTCGAAGATGGCTGCCGCGGTTTACTTGTAACCGAATATCACCAGCCGTATCGACACCACCCAGCATCATTGCCGGGCATTTTCTCGTCATTTCCGAGCATTTTTGCTGTGCGCTTTGAGTTGACGGGCTTGTCCATCCGGTAAGCAGTGAACGACGACCTCAACACAGCTATGGCATGTAGGTCTTCATCGCAGAGATACTAAGTGAAATCTTGTGTAGTCTCTCCGATGGTGGTAAGGACGGTCACGTGATATATACTGCCACCTTTCCCCTTCTGCATCTTTTTAGCTCTCCTAATGTAGTGCGTTGGTTGGAGCAAAGGGTGGTGGAAGCATGCAGTGGGGCAAGCTGTCGGGAATGACAAGTGTGGTGTTTCACTTGATGGCTACATTGTGGTGATGGTCCAGATTGGGCAACACTATTTCTAGACCTTCGTCGAGGCCGTGAACCTTTAAGCTGCTACCCCCTTCGGAAGATTGGCCCTGAAAACGGCGGTTATTAACGGAGATTTTTTTTTTAATTTTAAAAAGGGATCAGTAAGAAATCCATCACCACCAGAAAGTTCCTTTTGGTGACAAGACGAAAAAAGAACAATAACAGAAAGTTTATAAATGGCTTTCCAATACATATACTACAATAATATGGAGAGCAATGGGCTGATGTAGTAAATTCTGAGAGACAAAATTTGTTAGGAAATAAAGTTAAAATGGAATTGTGCCAACGTAAAATTCGCAAATGGCTGAGAAGACCAGAATACAAGAGAACATCCTTTTTCTGAGCACCTAATTGTATCATCTTCTATGTTACTGTGTGCCTCTTTCCGTTTCATTATAGCTTTTGAGAAATTGGCGAAGCTTGCACTAAGCCGCGCATGGCTTGAAACATCGAAAGTGGAGGATTCTGATAACCAATCAGGCTGCTTGTAGGGTGGTTTTAGGCTCTAGCAATACTATGCAGATTGTTTCTGCGTTGATTATATGCGCATTGAAGTTCGAGTTCAACTAAAGGCGGTCACAAACATGTCATGGTTGTCGAAACTCCAAAGACAGAAACTCGTACTGAATCCAAGCTTAGGCCCATCGCATTCTTCAGTCTTCTCGCTGCTGTTGCCTCTATCGTTGTATGAAATCGAAGTCTTCGGCTCGATTGGCTGCCACTTATTGGGGTAGTTGTCGCCTTTGTAGTAAGTTTTAGTCAACCAATTGGAAGTAGCTGGATTTACCCAATTTTATGTGGCGGAGACACGTTTATGACGATGGTAGTTTTTGGCTCGCCCTGCGAGGAACGATTCGCTAAAAAGCTTCGGTGACAAAAACTCCCTAGAAATCATATGCCATATCTAAGACGACTCGAACAGGAAAGACACTTCTTTCTTTTAGGGGCGAAGCTTCACAGGATCAAGCCATGTCCCCTGTCTATAGTACCCTGTTCGTCGGTGTGACCGATATATGGGTATCCATATGGCCATGATTGAGCTCGTTTCGTAGAAATGATGATGTAAGAGTTGTAGTTTGGGAGCCGAAATTCGGGGTTGTTCGTGCGTGATAATTCGAAATACTCGTAGCAAATAAAAAGCTTAACACCTTCGTTTTTATTTGAAATCGAGCCCAGGCCGTCTGCGTAGCAAACAAATATTTTACCAGGGAGCCATGCACACGCTCCGAATCGTTTCGGGAAACCAACACTAATGAATGCCATGTAGTGCGAACAATCACCTCAGGAAATGTAGTTTTCATTGATTGATTGATTGATTGATTGGTTCATTTATATGTGGGGGTTAACGTCACAAAACCACCATATGATTGTGAAAGACTCCGTAGTGGAGTGCTCCGGAAATTCCGACCACCTGCATATGGGGTTCTTTAACGTGCACCCAAATCTGAGTACACAGGCCTACAACATTTCTGTCTCCATCGGAAACGCAGCCGCCTCAGAGAGAATGTAATTTTGCGTGGCCGAAGTTTAGAATTGCACCCGACGCTAAAATATGTTAATTGCACAATTACTCAGTCGTTTAAAGCTTCCCCTATTACAAACTACTCTGAAATAATTTTCTCAGTTGGTCTGTCAACAAACTTCATTTGGGTCCTAATAAACTGCAGAGTCGAAGTTGCGGGCTGCGCACACGTTGGAGTGGAAAGACCATAATCCTCCACCCATTCGCGGGCCCTTCGAACTGCCTTTAGTTGTTTATAAAAAACACCGCTTTTGAGGGCTTCTTCCCAGTTCTCTTGTTTAGCTAAATAGGCATTTTGCAACGCCGACATTGCCAGGTCATGTGAGCTAATGGGTAATACCCTTCATAGCAATCGGGGCAGTGGGGATCGCTGTCCGGAGCGAATTGCTTGTTTGTTTTCATTCAGTATATGGCACGTACCCACTTTGGTAATTGACCAAGAATACGACGTTGAGACTTCCAAATATTGTTTTAGGAATGGTATGTGATTAACAAAACAAGGAAATGAAATGGGATTAATACGTGATACAATAAAGTTAAACTACAAGTGTTGTGCTTTTGAGCTTGCATTCCAGACTGCCGTATTAGCCTGATGGGAATAATTTTGAAAACTTAGTTAGGTTTTACCCTGTTGAAATGATGTTGTTGTTGAAATTCTTTGTCATTTCCGGAGCAAGGCGACCAAAGTTCCTTCTTCAGCTAAAGCATCAGCAAAGAGAAAGGCTGGTGCGTTGTCTTAGGCTTGCCTACGGAGTATTCCTCAAATTAAAAAATAATTATGGCTTAATGGTTACTTCGAAACTGCAGTAGGTATTCTAGGGTAGTTTGAAACAGCCAATGCAACTCGCACATTCACTCCTCTCTTGAAAGCATAGAGATGTACAACGACAAGTGTATAGACAGACTAGCGATTAAAAAGGCGCTGCGAACGGGTTCTGATTGCGCTATTC